ACTGCTGAATTTATAAGGATTGATGATTGGGGGATTTTAGGGGAGTTTTAGTTTTACTTCCGTTTATAGACTTGTACCATTGGGGATTTTTTTTTTCATTCTCTGTAGACACCAATTTATTTTTCCTTTAATCTTATAGGAGTTTGAGGCTTCTGCTGACTGGGTTTGTGGGTGTCCCATGTGCCCCATCAGTTCAAACTTAGCTCAGAAAGCATTTTTCTTACTAAAAAAGCATTTTCTTACTGAAATGAGTCATAATTTTATTAAATGGTGAAGCATGCTAAGTTTCAAAACTTTATCTGGTGTTTTAAACTTTGTTTCTTAAAAAATGAAATATAGCCTAAATCCTTATCAAAAATGTTAGTTGCTAGTAAGGTTTTAACATTCCTTTCTTCATGAGAAAAAAAATAACACTGGAACAAAATTATTGTGAGATATTTTAGTTCACAATTCTGAAAGACAAGTCATTTTGCAAGTTAATGTATTTTCAAAGCCAATATTTTATTTCTAGATTCTATAATAAAGTTTCTCCACATCAAAAATAAACACATTTTAAAAAATATCTAGAACAAACATTTAGAAGCCACCCCTAAAGGAATTGCACTCTGTCTTTGGGATTGTTTTATGAATCTAATTGGCATGATTCCCAAACTCTGAGCCCCTGGCACAATGGGAGTATCTGAGCCCTTCCTGAAGTGAGTCCATAGTCCCTTTCCCAAGATTCTTAGGAGTTGCAATTTCTCTGATTCTTAGACTCCCTTCAAGTAGAAAGATACCAAGCTCAATTTTATTTCCTTTGTGCATCATTTTCCTTTATGTGTTTTGAGAACTTACAATATTTTTATTCCCTAGACATTTGGGGGATATAGGTTTACATTTTTCCTCATTTGTGTGACAAAAATATATTTGGAGACAAGCATAGTCCAATAAAGAGTATACATGCAATGCTTCTTATTAGCCTAATTTGGGATATGCTTCCACCTGATAAGTATAAAGGAGGATAGAATCAAATGGAGTTATCATAAATTCTTGTGTGGATAAAAATATATTTTCAAAAGACATTGCAGAATGTTTACCATAACTACATACATTTCCTTTCTCCACTTAAAATTATTACAAATGATTTTTAGATGACAATTTTGTATTTTTCATCACTCTCATTTTTTTTTTTTTAAAGAGCTGCTGCATCAGTTATATTAGCTGCGGCAGGACTGCGGGAGAGCTAGATTCAGGCACAGACTTTTATTTGTAATGTAATGACAGGGGTCAGCACACTTTTTTGTTAAGGGCCAGATAGTACATGTTTTAGACTTTGTGGGCTGTGTTATATATTCATCTACTCTTCTTTCCTTTTCTTTTTTTTTAACCAGCCCTTTGAAAATGTAAAAACCATGTTTAGCTTGAAGGCCGTGTCCAGCCTGCAGGCCATAGTCAGCCAACACTAAAGCAGTGATCCCTAATCTTCAGTGTGTATCAGAATCACTGGGTGCGCCCATGAAAATGCACAGTCCCAGGCAGTCCCCCTAGAGTCTGTGATTCAGTAGGTCTGAGGCAGTCCCAGGAATCTGCATATTAAACAGGTACCTAAATGGTTTTTGTGGAAGCGGTCTCCATATCACACTGATAGACAATCTTGATATTAGAGTGAGGGCAGGCTGATTCAATACATTTTTACCTTTGCCAGTTGTCTCTCACTACCTTCCCCTCCTTCACCTCTCCTGGGCTAAGGGCTCAGGCTCTCAATAACCTCAAATAATCCAAGTCCATGGGCAAACTGATGCCAGTGAGCGCAAGGCTGTGGCAGCCCATTCCTTCTTCCTTTCCTACTCAACAAGAAAAGGAATCACTTGATCACTTGCTGATTATCATTATGACTCTCAGGAAAGCAAGCACTTAACACATTTTATTTTACTCTAAACATTGGGGAAGGGCTGAAGAAAGAAAGATGTATAAAAGATACATAGTCCAGCTTTTTGGCTTCTGATTGCTGAGAAATCCTGGGCATGTGGCAGGTCTTTAATCACCTGTGATCAGTGTCCTAAAGATGAATGAGGATTATCAATGGTGGTGACAGGCCAGGCATTAGTGGCTCCATGTCTCTAACCACCCACCTTTTCCCACCCCCTCAACTCAATTTGGTTCAGAGCATTAAGAGGGAAATAACTGCAGAAAACACCAAATGGCGAAAGTACAGACAATTCTTGATCATTTCAGTTAATGAATGACGGCTGGAGTACGTATCATTGAAATCCATAGGTTTGAGATAAATCTCATTTTGGCTCACAGCAAACCTTTTAGTAATAATGATGGAGGAAGTGCTACCTTAGTGCAATGTTTCCTAGAACCTCCTTATGAGACAGTGACCTCCTGGGTTCGGCATTTCCTATGTGTTTCCACCCTCCAGATTGTCACACACTTATATATTCCTATGACAACCAACCTGTGTATTTTCATTGCCATGTGAACGGAGTCTTGGATATAGGTATGAGCTTTTTCATGATGAAGGAAGTACATTCCCGAGCAAAAGCACACCATCAGGAACCACAAGGGATATTTCAAGCACAGGGAACAAGGAGTGGTCTAGGTTGCCTGGAGCAAGGAGAGCTAGCTTTGAAGGCCCAATTACAGCCTGTGTGTGTTAAGTGGAAGAGCTACATCATCAGAGCTGTGCATTTGGAAAATAAACAGTGTCATCGGAGAGATTGGAGTGAGAAGAAGGGGAGGGAGTCAGTGAATTAATCTGGACTAGGACAGTAACCCTAATTGGAATGAAAAGGAAGGGGCCGATCAGAAGAACATTGCATAGGCAGAAACTTCGAGACTTAGCAACTGATTGGATGGCTTTTGGAGGTGCCATTAATAGAAATAGGGAAGTTAGGAGGGGAAGAGAAGTGTGCACTAAGGAGATTCAAAGAGGAAAGTGAGTGCTGTATGTTAAGTTTGTGGTTTCTTATGGAAGAGATCTGGTAGAGTTGTTCAGCAGGTCGTGTAGGATCAGAGCCTACTGGAGAGGTCAAGCTAGGACATTGGTGTGCTGGAGTGAAATTTTGTGAGCCAGTTGTGAGACACAGACATTATTAAAAATGAAATTACATAAACTTACAATTAAATAGATTTTATTTTAAAAGGTAATAAATGTTAAAACATAATTTCCTATTTATTTTGCTGCACGTTACTATTACATATGCTCTTGTAGCTGCGTGGTGGAAATACTGTGTAATGGATGCTAAGGTGTCTAACTTTCCAAGTCTGTGTTCAGTGAAGTCATGTGGGTAGGTTGTAACCGGTGATACTTGGAGAATTTACACCACAAAAAGTTGCAAATGCTACAAATAAGGCCCACCCCAAAAACAAAACAAACAAAAAACCCCCCAAACACCAGTTGTTAAACATTGACCAGGGCAACACTGAATAAATGCTATACTTAAGATTACCTGCATGAAGGTGATAATTGTGTTATATCTTGGATGGGCTAATATGTCTCTATTTATATAGAGAGAGGACCAAGGGAAACTCTTTGGAGAATACTTGAGAGGTTCAAAGATGAGATTGAGGCTCGCTGTAGGGACTAGATGGAGAGATCTGTTGGAAAGTACAATGAATTTTCTATATGTATAATTAAATGTTTTTGTCTTTTCTTCTTTTGATAGAATTCTGTATTTTGTCAACTGATTTTTGAAAGGTTTTCATTTACTTTGAGAAAAGGTATTTTGGGGCAGTGGTTTTCAAACATTTTTCACTGTGACCTACAATAAGAAACCCATTTTAAATTCCATCTACACACACACAACACAACACACATACACACACACACACAGAGCTAAAACAAATGTGTGCTAAAAAAAAATGTTTCACAAAACAGTACTCACCCCATACTACCAACCCTGTGATCTGGTATTTTCTATTCTGTTCTGTTCTACTCTACTCCTATCCTATCCATCCATCCTAGTCAGGGACCCTACATTGTTTTGTGCCCTGCTTATAGGTAGTGAACCACAGTTTGAAAAATACTGCTGAAAGGATGAAGGCTTTACCTTTTAATGTTTAGAAAATATGCTTTTTGGGAAAGCTACCTTTTCCTCAAATTACAGTCCTATCTTTGCAGAGCTCTGGGAAAAGTCCTCAAAACTTAGCTTACAGAATTCATTTTTCTCCCATCTCTTCTCACAACTGTTCTTAGCCAATTCCTCCTCCCTCACTTCCCCAACATTTTATAAATGTAAAACAGCAGCTTTCAAAGTCAGTCAATAAAATATTGGGTTGTTGGAAAAGTCATGATGCATGTTTGCGACAGATGGTACTAGTTCATTTTTGGAAGTACTAGACTGCAGCGGTTCTCAACCTGTGGGTCGTGACCCCTTTGGGGGTCTAACGACCCTTTCACAGGGGTCGCCTAAGACCATTGGAAAACAAAAAGATATTTACATTATGATTCATTACAGTAGCAAAATTACAATTATAGAGTAGCAACGAAAATAATTTTATGGTTGGGAGTCACCACAACATGAGGCACTGTATTAAGGGATCGCAGCATTAGGAAGGTTGAGAACTCTGTACTAGAGTCATTTTTATCTGTGTTATTGCTATGTCATTTCACAGCTGACAGTTCTAGCTTCATTCTAAAAAAAAATTTGGTTGAGCTATTTGGTTGAGTTTTGGAGATTTTATAACAAGTTGAAGATGGAAAACCAAATTGTGCATTTTTGCCATATTTCACTGTTGTACTCCCATAAAGGGAAAAACACGCGTCAAGCTTGTGAAAAGTTGCATAAAGTTTACAGTGATAATGCTGTACAAGAACGTCAGTGCCAACGATGGTTAACAAAATTCCATACTGGTGATTTTGATCTCAACCATGCTCCTCGGTCAGGGAGGCCCACCAAGGTTGATGACGACAAAATAAAGTCATTGATCAAGTCAAACCCACGTTACGCAACACGAGAGATTACAGAAACATTGAACATCCATCATTCAAGCGTTCATGACCACTTGAAGAAGCTGGGATATGTACGTAAGCAAGCTCCATATTTGGTTTCCGCATGAATTCAAAGAAGTTTTTGACAGTGCGTATAAACATCTGCAATATGCTCAATAAATGTGAGAAAAATGATTATTTTTTGAAGCGACTGATAACTGGTGATGAGAAGTGGATTGTTTACAACAATGTGGTGTGCAAAAGGTCTTGGTCCCGATGTGATGATTTGCCTCAAATGACATTGAAAGCAGGCGTTCATCAGGGGAAGGTTATGCGCTCAGTGTGGTAGGATTTTAAAGGTGTCATGTTTTTTGAGCTCCTACCAAGAAACCAAACAATCAATTCGAATGTGTACTATTGGCAATTGGACAGTTTGAACGAATCCATCATCCAGAAATGCCCAGAGCTTGTTAATTATAAAGGAGTTGTGTTCTATCGCGACAACGCGAGACCACACACAAGTTTGATCACCCGTCAAAAATTCTTGGAGCTTGCATGGGATGTGTTGCCACACCCACCGTACTCGCCTGACCTTGCACCATCAGACTTCCACTTGTTTCACTCTCTTCAAAACTCCTTGCGTGGTTTAATGTTCAATTCAGATGAGGTTGTAAATCAGCACCTTGTTCAGTTTTTTGCAAATAAAGACAGGTCCTTCTATGAACAAGGAATTATGAAGCTCACTGAAAGATGGCAAAAGGTTATCAAACAAAACGGGAAATATATCATTATTGATCTTTGCGCTTTATATAAATAAATGACCTTTGAAAATCATAGACAAAATATGTCATGACTTTTCCGACAACCCAATAACAAGCTTTTATTAATATAAATTGTAACAACAACAACAACTACACTTAGGGGCTTATAAAAGTAACAGAATGACAAGGTGTCCAAGCCAGGGTCATCGAAGGTATAGGCAGAATACAACTTCCCTGGGCCTCATATTTCAAACCTTCAAAATGTGGAGGTTGTAGTAGAGAGCTTTAAAGGTGCTTCCAGTTTTTAATATTCTATTTTTCCCCAAATACCTAGTTCTCCTATTAACCTCTATATACCGGACAATGTTTTCATAGTTCCTTTTTACTGATAAATACACAGAGAGTATTTACTCAGTGTTGAGCACCATGCTAGGCATGGGCTTAAAGAGAGAAAGAACTGGGCCTTTTGCTAGATGATTCGAGCACATTCAAGGCCTTTTCCATTCTTATCGTCACCACCTTCTTTTAGGTTATCATTACTTCACCATAAACTGCCATCATAGCCCCCTAACTAATTTTCCACTCTATGATCTCTTTCTCCTCACCCCGTTCTCACCTCACTGCTGGATCAATCTCACTATAACCACTTTTGGCAGTTTAGTCATATGCCTAAAAACCCATAATTGGCCTCTTAATGTTGAAGAGATAAGATCTGAACTCCTTAACTTGGCATTCTCTGTCTTTAGCTCTGTGCCCACACAATCTTACCCCCAGGGGTGATGGTATTTAATAATTGGTGGCTCAAGTACTGACCAATCAGAATGGGCCTGGCTATAAACGATTGGACCGGGGTACACTGGCTGACTGTCACTCTGCTTTACAACATAACCTACATAACCTACCTTCCAACCTTATCTCCCACCATGTTCTGTTCAGTCCATTTCCTCCCCCCCAAACTCATTGGCAATCTCAGGGCCTTTGCTTACGCCATGCCTCCTGCTTGCAATGCCTTCCTTCCTCCTCTCTGCTTACATAAGTGTCCCCCCCGTCGCCACATACACGCGCGTGCACACACACACACAAACACACACACACACACACACACACATCCTTTAGGCATCACTGAAGTGCAGCCTTCCTTCTGAAGTCCTCTTAGCTTCCCTAATCCGCAATCATCACTCCAACCTGTGAGTTGTGTTAATGCCTACCTTCCTTGCTTTTTATTGAGCATATGGCCCATATTACCTTCCCTTGCTATTTATTTGCTCATCTATCTATCTATCTATCTATCTATCATCTATCTATGTATCTATCTCTTTATTTTTTATAAGGTGCCTTATCTCATCTTGAGAACTGATTATAAACTTGAAGGGAGGGACAGTATCTTCTACCTTTCTACATGCTAAGTTCCTGGAGCAGGGCTTTTTGTTTTTTGGGGGGTTTTTTTGAAGATTTTTATTAAAATATAGCTAACATACAATATTATATTATTTTCAGGTATACACAATAGTTATTCAACATTTGTATACCTAATGAAGTGATCACCATGATATGTCCAGCAGCCATCTGACATCATACTATGCTATCACAATATTATTGACTGTATTTCCTAAACTATACATTACATCAGGCGTACAGCATAGTGGGTAGACATTTATGTAATTTAAGAGTGATCCCCCTCACAAGTCTAGTACCCACCTGGCATTAATACATAGTTAGTACCATATTATTGATTATATTCCCTATGTTTTAATTTACATCCCTCCAAGTCTAGTTGTGGAGGACGTCGCTTCACTGGTCCATGTTGGTATTATCTTTGCGCTCTCCCCTGGTGAGGCAGTCGTTTGCCAGCTATTGGACTGCCACTCATGGCGGCGCATTTTGGCTCATGAAAGTGCATGCCAGCTGACGGCCAGCCCCACTGCAGGCTACAGCGTCACTGGCGACCCATGGCAGCCCAGCTCCAGGTTGAGCTGTTGTTCACCATCTTAGCTGTAGAGGGCAGTGTCACTGGCCCTCATGTGGGATCCAAACCAGGGCCCTGCTGCTCAGAGCTGGCATTCCAAGCCAACTCCTAACCAAAGCGCCACTCTGTCAGCTGTCCAATTTGTATTTCTTAATCCCTTTGCCCTGTCCCCAACCCCCTCCCATCTATCCCCAATAGATCTAGTACCCATCTGACACCATACATAGCTATTTCAATATTTGTAGCCATATTCCTTATGCTACATCCCCATGACTACTGTGTAACAACCAATTTGTACTTCTTAATCCATCTGGCAACAATCAAAATGTTCTCTGTATCTATTTGTTTCTGTTACATTTGTTTGTTTCTTTTGTTCTTTAGATTCCACTTGTAAGTGAAATCATACAACATTTTTCTTTCACTGTCTGACTTACCACACTCAGCACGATACCCTCTAGGTCCATCCATGTTGTCGCAGATGGCAAGATTTCATTCTTTCTAATGGTTGGGTAATACTTCATTGTATATATGTACCACCTTTTATTATCCATTCATTTAATCTTTCCTTTTTTTTTTTTTTGAGGGCAGTGTAACTGGCCCTCATATGTGGGATCCGAACCGGGGCCCTCTGGTATCCCAAGCCAGTTCTTAACCATCGCACCACTCGGCTGGCCCTTATTATCCATTCATTTAGTCAAGGACACCCAGTTTGCCTTTATATCTTGGCTATTGTAAATAATGCTGCAATGAACATATGAATCAGGTGATTCTCTTCAGGTGGTTTGTACAAAAAAGCCACTGGAAGCAGCTTGGGTGTGCCCAAAAGTTGGGTGGGGCGTGGTCTCAGAATTACCAGGGCGGGGCCAATGGTGTTAGCCAGTTTGATGGAGGCTCCGATATGACGTCTGCCTGCGTCTGCATGCAGGGAGAAGGGGGGCTCAACAAAGAAATAATGGCTCTGCCAGCTCACTCGTCCAGGAGAAAGCTGCCCCTCCAGCCCTTATCCTGAAGCCAGACCGTTTCTCCCCATATGTCTCTGTCGCCTTTCGAGTTGCTGCTCCAGCGCTGGAGCTCAGAGTATGTCCATCAACAAGTAAGTCCATGCGCCGGCCCTTTAAGAGGATCTCCTGGGAGAGCAGCCACCCTCCATGTCATTCAGCCACAATCTCTGCTGGTTTTCACAGCCAGAAATTATGGGAGCTTCTCTCTCCCCACACTGAAACCCTGGGCTGGGGAGCTTGGTGTGGCACGAAGACCCCTCACTACTGCCTGGGGAGAAGGGACATCTGTAACCAAGATATCCCTCCCTATTTTTAATAGCCACACGCTGGTGTGGGACCAGCCTATTTCATGTCTATGCCCCTTCTGCCAGTCTCGAGGTGGCTTCTTTTGTATGTCCTTAGTTGTAGGGCTTTGGTTCAGCAAGACTTCAGAGATACACAATGATGGTTATTTTGTAGTTTAACTGTAATTTTGATGTGGTTGTGAGAGAAGGTGAGCACAGCATTTACCTACTCTGCCATCTTGACTGGAATCCTGGAGCAGGGTTTTAAGCAAAAGTATGCACATAAATATTTGTAGTGCTGATGACAATTGATGAGGCATTTGTTGGAGCTGTTTGCATGTGTGTGTGTGTGTGTGTGTGTGTGTGTGTTTTAAATATACTTAATAATGCCTTATATTTGGATTTCAGAGTTTGCAACAGGCTTTGTCATATATAACCTCCTTTAGTCCTCATAGCAGTTCTTATGTTTCTGCCTACGGTTATCCCCACCCTATATTATTTTTCCCATTTTTGAGTGGGGGTAACTAAGGTGAGAGAGGTGAACTGGTTTGCCCAAAGTCACACACATAGTAAATTAGCTGGGATTGTTTAAACCCAGGTTTTTTAAATTCCAAATCCTGAGTTCTTTTCACGACTTTATGGTAGCTTCCAACTTTTAATTCTTACACCTTTATTTTCTTGAAATTTTTCTCAAATTGTGAAAACCTCACATGGATCCAATTCAGTGCTCAAGTAAAAATCGATAGGCTTACAAATTACAAAATCAAAACCATTGCTTAATCTCACTAGTCGTGCTTTCTAATATTTGTATAGATTGCTATCCTTTGGGCAACTTGACTCCGGAGCTCTTTTCTTTCAAAGCATGTTTGTTCACATATTGTTTGTCTGAACCTTATTTCTTTCCCTCCTACTTTACCATTCATATTTATTTCCATTTATTACTTAAATATATCTTTATAGAATATTGAATTCCATGTATTTACCTCAAGGAGCCATCCATTTTTAAACTAGTCATAAAATCAGTAAGTACTTAATTCCAGCAAACATGAAAAGCTTTCTTAGTCTTTGTGAAATCCATTTGGTATCTTCTTTAATCACTAGTATGCCTTTTCTTCCTTCTTTCTTTCTTTCCTTCTTTCTTTCTTTCCTTCTTTCTTTCTTTCTTTCTTTCTTTCTTTCTTTCTTTCTTTCTTTCTTTCTTTCTTTCTTTCTTTCTTTCTTTCTTTCCTTTTTCCCTTCTTTCTCTCCCTCCCTCCCTCCCTCCCTCTCTTCCTTTCTCTTTTTTTCTTTCTTTTCCTTCTTTTCTAACTTACTTCCCTCTCTCTTTTTACCCACTCGCCCCCTCCACCCCTCTCTCTCCTTCCCACCTCTTTCTTTTCTTTCTTATTTAAACCCAGAGTCTAAGAAAATAAAGTTCTTAACTCGAGCAGAACAAGAAAAAAGAAATAGTTTTAAGCCAGCTATTAATTTCCTTTGGCCCTTCACATCAAGTGGGCTACATAATTTAAAATGTTAACCCTGTTAGGATGAAGTATACCATAGCTCTACTCTTCCTATTTAAATTTATTGCTAGAAATATGAAAAGCTTGTGGAAGTGTAAAACCAATACTACAAACTTGTGATATCATAGAGGTTACTTCTTCTGATTTACTTTTCAGCATTAGTAATGGTTCTAAGGAAATAAATAAAAATAGTCAATTTGTTTATAAACAATATCAGTTCCAAGAATTCTCTTAATTTGGTCTTCATATTTGTGTTAAGCAAAACATTTTACTTTTTGCAAAGAAAATAGCCTCTAAGAAACTGTATCAAAGTGTTTATAATCACTTTTATTAAAATTCTGAAAAAGTCACAAAATGCTGGCTTTTCTGAGAACTTGGGGAGGCTCCTCTGATCCAATTTGGATTTAGAGCCTGGCAGAGAGTATTTCTGCAGCTGAAAAGCAATATTGTGTTTGAAAAGTTTCAGGTACACCAAAGGTCTCCTATAAAAGTTCTAATTTATGTTTTAGTCTAGATTACATACAGTTTCTTTTCTGAAATAATTTTTGGTGCTTTTTCTTTCTTTTAAATAACTGGGAGTTAATCATATTCTTATAAAATATTGAAAGAGCAGTACATATGCAAAACACTTTTAGAAATGAGATACCTTTTATTTTCTATTATATTTTTTATCATAATTTGAGATATATAGAGACAGATACATTAAAAAGGTGTTATTGATGTTTAAAACCATGAAAAAATATCACTGCAATGTACTTAAAGGTAACTTTCAGTACGTGAATATTAGAATTTTCATGATAATATCAAATATCAAATCCCCAAAGCATTTCATAGTAAATAGATTTCTTTGAAAATGTAATATGGGAACAGATTTTTATAATGCAAAACCCGATGCAGTTCCTGTGGAGTGATTATATATATATATATATATATATATATATATANTATATATATATATATATATATATATATATATATATATATATATATATACATATACATATATATATATATATATATATATATACACAAGGATATATATATATATATCCTTGTGCCATGTTATGGCTTTATGGATTCCTTTTGAAGACTGTCAACAGGTTTTGCATAGAATGATTCATTCAAAAGAATATGCCCAGTAAAGTTTTGAAATTAGAGTAGTCTGAATTGTTGGTGTTCTCGCTCAGTGAATGGCATCACCACCCTTTCAGTTGGTCAGGCCAGAACCTGGGGAGTCACTGTAAGCTCTCTCTTGCTCCTCCCCCCAGCCCCAGGGGAAAAAGGGGAAAAAGAATAAGAATAAGAAAATTTCCAGGTATAAAACAAGTCATGGGGATGTAATGCACAGCATAGATAATATTGTCAATAATATTGTGATAGCATGGCACGGTTTCAGACGCTTACTGTACTTCTCATGGTGATCACTTCTTTAGGTATATAAATGTTGAATAACTATGATGTATCCCTTAAACTAATATAATATTGTATATTAGCTATATTTTAGAAAAATCTTTAAAAAGAAAGCAAATAAATAAATAAATAAATAAATAAATAAATAAATAAACTCTCTCTTGCCCCAACATTTAATTAAGCACACATTTTTGCTAAGTTCACTTTAAAAATTGTCCCACTGTTCTTACTGGACACGGCGCTGGTCTCAAGCTGTTTGAACAGTTTAACCCAAAACATGGATATCCTACCAAATCATACAATTTATATCAATAATATGAATGACAAAATTAAAAAAGAAGAATTGAAGAGATCCCTGTATGCCCTGTGTTCTCAGTTTGGCCATGTGGTAGATATTGTGGCTTTAAAGACCATGAAGAGGAGGGCACAAGCCTTTGTTATATTTAAAGAACTGGGCTCATCCACAAATGCCTTGAGGCAGTTGCAGGGATTTCCATTTTATGGCAAGCCAATGCGAATCCACTATGCAAAAACAGATTCTGATATAATATCCAAAATGCGTGGCGCTTTTGCTGACAAAGAAAAGAAGAAAGAAAAGAAAAAAGCCAAAACTGTGGAACAAGCAGCAATGATTGCAAATAAAAAGCCTGGTCAGGGAACACCAAATTCCGCTAATACCCAAGGAAATGCAACACCAAATCCTCAGGTCCCTAATTACCCTCCAAACTATATTTTATTCCTTAATAATTTACCAGAAGAGACTAATGAGATGATGTTATCCGTGCTGTTTAATCAATTCACTGGTTTTAAAGAAGTACGTTTGGTACCTGGGAGGCATGGCATTGCATTTGTTGAATTTGAAAATGATGGACAGGCTGGAGCTGCCAGGGATGCTTTACAAGGATTTAAGATCACACCATCCCATGCCATGAAGATCACCTACACCAAGAAATAACATTTGGGATAGTTGTCTTTAAAGGACTTGGTGTTATTTATAGTGTTTGTTTTGATAATATTTCGTCAAGTCATTTTAATAGTTGAGGGTGAGGGGAAGTAAAAGTGAAATTTTTGTTCAGGTTTTAAAAAATTGCCTAGTCTTCCTTTAGCCTTAGTGAACTATAAAATATGAAGGCCTTAATTTTGTACAATAAACTTTTATTTGTATTTTATAAAAAAAAAATTGTCCCATAGTTTCTCTCTTTTTCTCTCCTAAACTGCCACCTCAGTTTAGACACTTGTAAATTCTCTAATGCTGGGCTAGCCTCCATAAAGCCATTCTCATCACAGCTGTCAGATAGGAAAATGTGTAAACATAGACCTGATCATGATACTCCTTTGCTTAAAATATTGCTTGTAGCAGTGGCTCTTGACCAGAATATCAGGGTCATCAGACTACACATGCCTCTCTTACCACTTTGACAAATGTCCCCTTCACCTTCAAAAACAACCAACCTACAGGTTAAAAATCAAAATACTTAGCATTGCATCTAAGACTCTTCATAGCTTCATCTCACAACCTCGTAGGAGTCCACTGCTTATGTGTTACCACATATGCCATGAGGATCTGTGCCCAGAAGCCTTGCTCATTCTGGTCCTCTGCTTGCCACTCTCCTCCCATCCTGCTTTGGTGACTAATTTCTGCTTGTCATCCAGCCTCAGTTTAGAGGCCTTCTGCTCAAGAAAGTCTTCCGTGACACACTGTGAATGCCTCAGAGCCTCTAGCAGAGTCCTTACATTACATCCAACCTTAGTTTCATGTCTCTCTCACCATCTGGAACAGCAGGTCTCATATTATCGTGGCATAAGAATTGCCATTCAACACGCCGAGTCCTAAGGAACCATATCCAGAGAGTCTAATTCAACAGACCTCCCTGAGACCCAAGGATCTGCATTTTTATGAGGCAGAATCAGGTGATGCTGATGGGATAAGCACCTCAGAGGCCAGTGTTTGGGGATTCTATTAACCTTCATGTGAGGAGTTATTTTCACTTCATAGATATTCCATAAATGTTTGAGGCACTGGATTAGGCTGAACATAGCTTTCAATTCAAAAGTTATGTCAATTTCAGGAGTTTTTAGGCCTTTTGCCTATCGCTTCACTTTTACCTCAGCAAAAACCCCGTATGTTCTTGCCTTCTGCCTGGCTGTGTGAGAGGAAGTAGCGCCCCTGCAAGATCTTAGTAATGAAGAATCTGAGACTCAGGATAGTCAAAAATTAAATTTTATGAATAAAATTTAAAAAGATATGATCTGTGATTTTCTCCAGTTACACAGATAATTGGGTTTCCAGATGAGTGGTGCTGCTGAACAAAATTGAATGTCAGCTACATATTTACTTTAAATTGTTTTTGTGGCCATGTTTTAAAAAAGTAAAAAGAAACTGAGAACCCTAATTGTAATAACATATTTTATTTCACCTGATATATCCAAAATATTATCATTTCAGTGCAAATGAGTACTAAAAATTATTAAGAAGATACTTGGCATTCTTTTTGGCTGGTACTAAGTCTTTGAAATCTGGTGTGTATATTATACTTACAGAACATTTCCACTCCAAATATTAAATGTTCATCAGAAATACTTGATCTGTTTTTATAATTCATAAAATGTACAATTGAAAAAGTAAATTTACATACCCAAGTTGTTTCAAAACATACTTAAAAGTTTTCCAGTACCTGAAGTGTCAGGTTTTAAATGTCATTAAATGAATTAAAAAGAAATAAAATTTAAAATTTAGTTCCTCAGTCACACTAGGCACACAGTTCAATTGCTCAATGGCCATATGTACCTAATGGCTACTGTATTAGACAGTATAGCTATAGGACATGATATTGGTCAAGATCAGATACTTATTAATTAGCGATCTTCAAGCTATTGATACTCACCCTTATTATTTTCTTAAGAATCAGATTTGCAGAAATCCTGAATGCTAAAAATAAGGAAAATTTTCCCAATGAGTTCTATTTAGATTATCACACACTCAAATTTTATTTAAATAATTAACATTTTACCTTAAATAGATGGAAAGGCTGACTGTGTTGGTAATAGGAGGCAGAGTGGCATGAGGACAGTAATATGTATGTGATTCGAGTCAGAGTCCTTAAGTTGTCCTAGCACTCCCAAACAAACTGTAACTTTGCACAAAATGCTTAATATTTAAGCCTGTATCTTCATCTATATAATAGGTATGGTACATAGTCTATGCACAATCCTATAGATTCAAAGTGAGGATCAAGTGGGTAATATAGCTTAAAGTGTTACATAAATTGTAGATAACTTACTATAAGAGCACAAATATGGTTTACAACTAATAAATTGAAGCACTAGGTTAGCAGCATTTGCTATGTGGCAGGCACTTTACAGGCTGACTCTAATTCTCATCCTTGCCAAGGAGGTGATATGATCTCCTTTTACTGAGAAAGAAACAGACAGTTGAAAGTTTAAGTACATGTGCAAAGTTACATGACCTTTCAAGTTCAGAGCCAGAGAATTTAAACCTAAGCCTTTTTGATTCCCAAGCCTGTGGGCTTTCCTAGAAATTTTACCACGTTCCTCTCTCCCTCAAAAAGATGACGTTCCTAAATTTATTTTCATTAATGCCATAAGATAATCCAATCATGATTTTTGAAAATAATGAGGGAGCTGAGACTATAACTCATTTTGAGAAAGGTTGTGGAATTCCAGGCCTCTGTGAGGGTTTACCCATTGCAACAAATAGAATAAAAGAATAACTCCTAAGGGATTTTGGATGATGATTTACATCAGATAATTTCCCAAAGAAGGAGTATGTGACCTTCTGAGATCAGCAAGTATTGGCGTTTCTGGCTTTGAGTCATGCCTGGAGTCAGAGGAATGAGTTGGCGATAATTAGGCCTACGCTCATTAAAGAAAACAACTGGAATTCAGTAGTGTGATCAGGTTTCATGTAAACCTAAAAGCTTTTCTTTTATGGACTACATGGCTTGATGTTTAGAAAAGAAAGGGAATCATCAGCAAATATTCAGGTGACCAATGCTGAAGTCCAAAAATCAAAAAGGCAAAGGCTTTAATTATATTTACATATTTCGATGTCCTATTGATCCCCCATGCGTAACAAAAAGGGTGTAAGGCAGCTCTAGCAATGGGCTTACACAATTTATGTTGCTTTGGTATATATCAATAGTAGGAAAGAATTCTATTTGTCTTTTGTTTTTTTCTTCTGGGGTTTAAAAATAATTTTCAAGATTCCCAGTTATTGTGATGTTGTGTTGGCCAAATTCCCATAAATAGAGCATCTTATTACTTCTTCAGATGCAAACAAATACTCAATTGGGGTTTACTCTGGGATGGCAATGACGGATAGACTGGTACACCTCACCCACCCCTTCCAAAGGAGAATCTCCCTGGTGCCCTCGCCACTGGCCCTATCTCCTGGGCAGGCCTGGGCAGGCCTGGGCCCCACTCAGTGTGGTCTCCAGGCAGCAAGTTGGCAGCACAGCTGGAAGGCCTTGAGCACTTCCCTCAGCATCAGCAGGAAGAGGATCAGCAGCAGAGTGATGCAGCTGATGGCCAGCACAGCTGCCAGCAAGTCCTTCAGCATTGGTGACAAACGAGAATGTGACAAGTCCCTGCTCTGAAGGAGCTCAGTGCATGTGTGTGTGTGTGTGTTTGGGAAGGGTGGGGGGTAGGGGGGGAAGGAGGGGGGCACACCAGTGTGTAGCAATTACCACTCAAGGTGCATACTTTTCTGTGGGAGAGAGCTTAGGTTACCCATAATTATAAAACAGCCAGAGAAGATGTGGGTGAGGGCTTCCCCTGTATAACCCAGTCTAATGTGCTGGCCTGTCCAAGGATACTTTCCCTGTCCACCTGATAGTAACCCTAGGGTGATATCAGACTCTTGTTCGAACTGTTGCTTTAAATTAAATGACCGCATGGATCCCTTCATAACCATTACATCTTACGGTGCATTCATTTTTGAGATGGAGATTTGGTTGAGAATTGGCCCAAATAGACACTGGAGTGAAAAAAACTTCGTTTGGTAGGAGACGAATCCTAGTGAGTGTATCCCATTTGATGGACTTAGGAAGAAGCCTAGAATTTACCTCACTTTTTCCGTTTTGCTCACGTTTTACTCTGTTCTATAATAGGCATATTATATTCAGCATGCTGTGAAATGTTTTTTAAAACGTTTCCTTCAAAGACACATTTTTTTCGGATATCAGTGAAGTCCATAAAATTACATATTAGAATCCTGTTTTCCCTAATGCAAACAGTCGTACTGATACCACTTGAAGTACTGTGTGAGAGCAGCTACCCACCTACCTGAGGTAATTCATTGATGGTGGTATTGGGGACTCCATTTGTAGTCCATTATCCTGAGATGAACTCTGTAGCCAGGTCTGTAATCCTAAAATCTTATTTACGAGTACTTTGGCTAGCCCAGAGATTAGCTCCTGCAATTACTTGCCCAAAGGAATATAACTTCAGATCAATAATGAAAAATGCCGTTTTCACATTGCTTTTCCTTCTCAATATACTCCTAGATCTGAGAGAACCTTGATTTTGAAGGTAACATTGCATAGCTCAGCAGAGGGCTTTCAAATGAGATCATGGCTCAGCCATCACCAAGTAAAAGAGAAGCAGCAGGTATTTCCAGGAGACTCAGACCTTTCCCCTGAAACTGGTGTAGTATCTGTGCTGCTGAGATGCTCTGTTTAGAGAGTTACAACTTTAGGGGTGATGAAACCGAGCACGATCTCTCCAGTGTTCTGTTTTCTCTTTACAGACCCCCTGCCACTCAGCCTTTACTGGGTTTTACTGGAAACGTGCTTCACCTTGAGAAGACCAGCTTGCTCTGAAGGTAGATGAATCCTGAGGTAAAGACACAGCTGACAATCTGGAGTCGGCAGAGGCTGCCTCACTTTTGGGGACAGATATGACAATACTGTGGGATTGGAGGACAATGTTACCTCAGGAATATGTTGGAAAACAGTTTATATCTATAAAATATTCTGAGCCTATATGAAAATTCATCAAAGGAAGAACGGATGGGAGAGTGGGACGAGCAGTATTTGTAGTGTTTGTGTATTAAAAGATGGTCTAATTTCCTGACCAGTGTTTACATTATAATATTGCCAGTATTCTGTATTACACATTATTATCAGCCATGATTTCCTTTCATTAA